GTAGTGAGCTGTTTAATCCCCAGATATCTGAGTTACTAGTTCATTTCTCTTTGTAACTAACTTCAATTTTTAATGTATCCTGGTGTGAGAAGATAGTTGATACAATTTTTATCCTCTTAACTTTATGAGACCTTTATACACTGGCTCGGCTCTTCACTCGCTACCTGTCTGAATGCAAGGTTCCGTCTCAATGGAAAACCAGCAGGACCGTACTACTGTTCAAGAAGGGAGACATCCATGACATTGGCAACTATCGCCCGATCTGCCTATTGTCTGTCATCTACAAGTTGTTCACTCGAGTCATCCTGAATAGGATTGGCAGAACATTAGATGAAGGACAACCATGTGAGCAAGCAGGGTTCCGCAAAGGATTCAGCACCATCGACCATATTCACACGATAACCAAGCTCATTGAGGTATCTCGAGAGTTCAAAAATGCCGCTGTCTAACGTTCATTGATTTAAAGAAGGCCTTTGATTCTGTTGAGACAGAAGCGGTCATGGAAGCCCTAGCCAATCAGGGCGTACAAACTCAATACATCAGGATCCTTCGTGAACTCTATTGCGGATTCACTACCAAGATCTCACCATTCTACAAAGAAGTAATCATCCATATCAAGAGAGGGGTTCGGCAGGGTGATACCATTTCACCAAAACTCTTCAGTGCCACCCTCGAGAACATCATGCGACGACTGGAATGGGAAGGAATGGGAGTGAAGATAGATGGTCGGCAACTAAACCACCTCCGCTTTGCTGATGACATTGTTTTAATAACACCAAACATTAGCCAAGCGGTACAAATGCTGGCCGACTTTGACCGTGAGTGTGGAAAGGTAGGACTACAGCTGAATCTTACGAAGACAATGTTTATGAGAAACAGCCTTGTTCCTGACGCCCCATTCGCTCTCAATGGAACGACCGTCTCTGAATGCAACAGCTATGTGTACCTAGGTAGAGAGGTCAACATGACAAATGACCTGGCACCCGAGCTGCGCAGGAGGAAGAGAGCGGCTTGGAACGCCTTCAAGAACGTCGAAGAAATAGCTAAGAGGACGAAGAACCTCCGGCTCCGGGCACATCTCTTTGATTCCACTGTTCTTCCTGCATTAACATATGCCTCAGAGACCTGGGCCCTACGCAAACAAGATGAGAATGCTATTCAGGTCTCCCAAAGAAGAATAGAAAGAGCTATGCTTGGAATATCACGTTTCACTCAAATGAGAGAAGGAATCCGGAGTTCTGACATCCGTCGACGATCAAGGATCAGGGACGCTGTCTCATTTGCCAAGGTGTCGAAAATCAGATGGGCTGGTCACGTAATGAGATTTAAAGACAACCGTTGGACTAGAGCTGTTACTGATTGGATTCCACGGGATGTCAAGAGACCGCGTGGCCGCCCACCTACCAGATAGTCAGACTTCTTCGTCAAGATCATGAACGATCGGTTTGAGGCCCTCCATGTTCCCGGAGCGAAGAGATGCCATTGGGCTACACTAGCACGCGACAGGGACAAATGGAGACGTTACTGGCGCCCGCTCGAGCAAATCGACGACTAACGGGAAGTTAAGTGATTAAGTGTGATTAAGTGAACTTTATGAAGTTATGTTTTGCAGCCCAGCATGTGGTCTATCTGGAAGAATGTCCCATGTACACTGGAGAAGAACATATATTCAGCTTTTGGGGGATGCGAAGCCCTCCATTTCATCCTTCAAAACCAGTATTTCCTTACTGAGCTTTAGACTACTTAATCTTTTGAGCAGTGCTCCTGATATTATTGATAAAGCCTCCTGATATTATTGTGTTGCTATCAATGATGCTAAGCATGGGGGTAGAGAGATCACTTAATGGGCTGCATACAGGAGACTTGGATTCAATCCTTGTTACAACATATGGTCCCCCAAGCACTGCCAGGAGTGACCCCCCCCAAGCACCTAGAGCATACTGGGTATGAAAAAAATAATAATTATAGACATCAACAGCAACTCCTTGCTCTGAAACTAAAAGTCTTTTGGTATAAATTGACAGTTTTGGAATCCTCCCTAAGTCAATTTTAATTTATCTTATTTGTGGAAGTGGTTTTAGGGATTCTCACATAAGCAAGACATACGCTCAACCAGTGATCTATATTCCTTTCCTGGTCTTGAGTCAGCCTCTAATATTAAAATTTAGCATTCCTGGGTGAAGGAGCTAACTTAGTGGGCTAAAGTGTATGTTTTGCATGCAGAAGCTCCTAAGCACTGAGACGCTCCTGAGCACTGCACCTAGAGAAGCACCCTGGACTGACTGGAGTCTCCCAGTCAAAAATAAATAAATAAACACATTTCAAACTGTACCATATCTACAAGAGAAACATTTTAGATCTAAGAAAATATGCTGATGAAAGTAAAGACGATAGACTGGAGTGATAGTATAGCAGGTAGGGTGTTTGATTTGCACGAGGCCAACCTGGGTTAGATCCCTGATAACTCATATGGTCCCCCAAGAGTGATTCCTGAGTGCAGAGCCAAAAGAAATCCCTGAGCACTACCAGATGTGGTCCAAAAACAAACCAAAATAAAGAATGAAAAAGACATTTCATGCAAACTGAAACCATAAAGGCACAAGTTATACTTTTATCAAAGTAGATTCAAAATAAAATTGAAATGGCATATCAAATAATGACATAAAACTAAAAGTCCACTTATCAAGACAACTTAACAATTTAGGTAAGTATGCACCAAACCTCAAAGCTCCCAAAATAATGAGGCAAACTTTGAACAAACTGAGAACTTTGAACTTTGAACAAAGCGAGAAATACGTAACAGCAAAATAACAGTAAGAGACTTCCACACCCCTTTCAATTACGAAAAGGACCACCAAACAGAAAAACAACAGAGAAATGTCTAATTTGCTTAAACAAGTATAGGCAAATTGGACATAACATAAATAGAATCCTCCACCGACAGCAAAACAGAACTTAGACCACAAAATATCTTAAATCTGGGAAGGATAAAATTATCTATTGTTCCTAATGACAATGCAATGAAATTAAAAATCAACAAAACAAGAAAAAGTGAAAGTTTTAAAAATATTTGAAAATTAAATAACATTCTTAGGAAATTAATGTGCAAAACATGAAGTTGCAAAGAAAATTTGAAAATGTTATTTAAAAAAAAAGGAAGAAAAAGAAAAGGGCCGAAGCATATAAGGGGCAGGGTGCTTGCCTTAAATACAGCTGACCTGGGTTCAATACCCTGTACCTATATGGTTCCACAGGTCTGCCAGGAATGATCCCTGAACATATATCCAGAGGTAAGCCCTGAGCACCACCAGATATGGCTCAGAAACAAAACCAATGAAGAAAATAAAAACAGTATCAAAACATACTGAAAGATGGGGGGATGGGGGTGGGAGGGATATTATCCATGGTGGTGGAAAATGGGCACTGGTGGAGGGATGGGTATCTGATCATTGTATAATTGAAACCAAAGCACAAAAAATTGTAAATCTACAACTGTAAAAAAATAAATAAATAAAATAAAATAAAGGGAAAAAAAACATACTGAAAGAAAGCTTGTAATACTAAAAAGAGAAACAAGATCTCAAGTCAACAACCAATCTTATACCTCAAAAAATTAGAATATGGAGCCAGGAGACAGTACACTGGTTAGGGAACATGCCTTGCATGCATCTGGCCAGGATTCAAGTCCCAGCACCACATGGTCCTCCAAACATCTGGAAGTTCAGTCCTGGAGCACCACCAGGGTGACCCTGGTCCATGCAGCATCCCATACGTGGGCCCTAGCACTGAACCACCAGCCTGGTCGACAGACAATAGCTGGACCTCCTGAAAACCACTTGGGAGGCCCCCCACTCCAGTCCCGCAAAAGGAAAAAAGGCAGGGGAACACAATGGTTACAGCAGTTTACCTACTATGCAGCTGCAGCCTTGATCCCAGTTCAACAAGGCACCACGGTCCCCCAAGGGTCTGCCAGGTGCGTGAACTTTCTGGTTTGGGGCCACACCTGCCAGTGCTCTGGAGTCACTCCTGGCGGTGCTGGGGACGGGGGAGAAGGGAGGGAACCAGATGGGGAACGACAAGGATTGAACCCGAATCGGCAGCGTGCAAGGCAAAGAAGGCCTCGTGCTCCGGCCCCTTTTATAACTCTCTCTTTTCTCTTGTTTCACTTTAACGTTTCCCGGGGCACAGGGTTTGCTTAATGCACCAGTCTCTAACCTCGTGGCGTTTTGTTTTTGTTTGCCCTCACACTGTCTCGTGCACAGCACAGAACAGCAAACTAATTAAAGGAGGTCTTGGTAGCTGAATTGTACGGCAGACCTCCTTTGCCCCCCGGTGAAGAAATACAATGAAATGCAATCCTCCCCCCACCACCACCACCGACCACCACCACCAAAAAAAAAAAAAAAAAATCGGGTCTTTTTCTCCCTGGCTGCTCGGGGAGGCCGTTTCCCGCACGGTTTTAAGGAACCCCCTTTCCTTAGCTCCGCAGCGCCGGGCACTGAAAGTGCAGCCGAGCCGCGCGCCAGGCTGGGCCCTCGCGACCTCCCCGGGGGAGTTCGAGCATCTGCAGCCCCGGCACCGCCCACCCGCCCTAACAACCCGCGCGGCGGAGCAACCGCTCTCCCCGCCCGGGTCCGGCAGCCTCTCCCTCCTCCTCCTCCTCCTCCTCCTCTTCCTCCTCCCGGGAGCGCTTCTCCACCGCGGTCCGGGGAGATGCCCGCGTCTCCGAGCATCCCCCGCTCGGCAAGCACCGCACAAAGGGGGAAGGCGGCGTCGGCCAGGAGCCAGCCGAGCTCCGAGCCGCGCCCGAGCCCCCCAGCAGGGACCTCTGCAAGCCTCGGGAGAGCGCGCCGGGCCGCGCAGCGAGCGAGCGAGCACCGAGCCGAACCGAACCGAACCGAGCCGAGCCGAACCGAACCGAGCCGAGCCGAGCCGAGCCGAGCCGGGTCGGGCCGAGCGGCCGCCGCCGCCCCCGACCCCCACCTCCCCGCCGCGCTCACCTGGTGAGGCGGGCACGGCTTTGCGTGCGGGGGGCGAGGCTGCGGGATGGACCGCGCGGGCAGAATCCGGTCGGGGCAGGCCTGCAGCCAGGCCGTGGCGCCCTCGTCGTCCTCGTCGTCCGACCACTCGCGCTCCTGACACTCGTGGCGACACTCCTCCGGCACGCACCGGTAGTCACAGTCCGAGTCCGGCCCCCTCTCGTCCTCCACCTCCTGCACCACCACCACCTCATCCTCCAAGTTCTCCTCCGCCGTCTCCGTCTCGTCCTCCTCCTCCTCCTCCTCCGCCGCCGCCACCCCTTCTCCCTCGTCCTCGTCCTCCCCCTCCTCCGCCTCCGGCTCTTCCTCCTCCAGCTCGCCGGGCCAGGGCAGGTCCTCTGGCTCCATGTTGGCGTCTCGCTCCCGGCGGGCCCGGAGGAGGGAGAGGAGGAGGAGGAGGAGGAGGGTGTCGGAGTCGTCGGGAGTTGGCGGCTGCGCGCAGGCGCAGAGAGACGGCGGCCGTCTTGCGCGCCGCGCCGCGCCGCGCGCAGGGGCGGGGCGGGGCCGCGCGGGCGCGCGCGCGTTGCTAGGGACGCCCCGCGGGCGGGAAGGCCCGCGGGAAGCGGGGGTGGGGGGGGTGGGGGGGGGGTTAATGACAGGCGACGCCCTCGCCTCCATCCCCGTCACCGGCGCGGCTCTTGCTCACAGTACTGTAAGCTCACAATAAACCCAGACTGTGCCTCTCTCTCTCTCTCTCTCCAGGGAGGGCAGAATTTCCCGTCCTCGGCTGGATTAAGCCAAAACCCGGCCTTGCAGCGAAGGGAGGATCAGATCTCAGAAAAACAAAGCCATGATCATCAAATTTGCAAATGATGATGATTTTTTTTTTCCTCCCCAGATGGGTAGTCCGCTTTCGGGCAGGATGTGTGGTGGGCGGCTTGAACCTAACAATGGAAAAATGTCGGTGGTGGTAGAGGCTTTTCAAGGAGAACTGGCGCAGGTACCAGAAAGATGAGAATGTGAATCCAGAAAGATGAGAATTTGAATCCAGGTGTTCTGTAGCATGAGAGGAGTGTCGGAAGCGCTTCATCGCATTACGGAATTTAAGGGGATGACCAGTGTGGAGGACTTAGTGAGAGCTTTTGATTGTTGATTATTGTGATGAAAAGCTTGTGTAGAAGACTCAAAAAAATAATACTCAAAAAAATATCTATTGTGCTGAAGACTCAAAAATAAAATAATTCACCCCCAGTGACAGGCTTAGTTGGGTTTACCCCAGGTTTTCCGTAAATCCAGTAATTTATTGGTCGGCTAATAAAGGATGAAAGAACAAATATTTATGCTGACAGTAAATGAATTTGGGGTTGATCAATGACTTTGAAACACTGACAGCTTATGGAATCTAGAGAGGCATTGCTCTAACCTAAGAGGATTGCTGTACTTAAAGCAGAGTCCAGCAAAAATTCTTCATTGTACTATGTAACTACAATAGCAGAGATAGCCAGAGAGATGGTACACAGGCTCAGGCACTTGCTTTGAACGTAGTTCGATCCTGGGTATCCCCTATGGTCTCCCCAAGCCCACCAGAACTGATCCCTGAGTAGAATAAGGAGTAATTCCTGAGCACCACCGGGTATGGCACAAAAACACAACAACAACAACAACAAAAAGAGAAATTGGCAACAGTACTGAACCAACATTTGTGGGCTAGTTTTAAATGTATGGTGAGAAATAGCTGTCCTATATGACAACTTACCCTGGCAAAATAATAAAAGTAAAACATGAACTGGAACCCAAAGCCTTAGGACTAAATGGAAAATTATGTTGAGGTACAACTCTTTTAGTAATAGGTTGAAAATTTTAATGACTGGAGTTTTATGGCAGGAGGATGTGGATAGAGGGAGAGTGAAAATGTGGAACATGACTGAGCTAAAAGAAAAAGCATCTGACTCTGGAAAACACATTCATCTGGATTCTGGGCTTTCATTGACAGGGTTTTATAATTTAGGCTCCTGGATTTGAGACTTATTATGAAAGTGGATGTTCATTTTGTTTCCAGTAATTGTGATTTCTAGTAGTTGGTCACTGTGTCCTGTCTAGGTGTTTTTGTCATTAGCATTGGCTGGAAGAGAAGGAGGCAATAACTCTGATCCAACCACAGACTACAGTACCTGTAGAATCTCAGCAGTAGTGAAAAAAAAAATGACGATCATAAACTAATATCCTGTGGCCTTTGTCTGGCCTTCATCAAAAGTGGTTGGGTCTAATTAAATAAACATCTTGAATTATGTAACTAGTCTCACACTAATAACTAAACCTATTCATTAGTAAGAGGTGGCTTGGAATTCACAACTGTGCTGAGAATCTGGGGAGTGGGTGAGTTTTTGGGTCACACCTGGTGGTGCTCAGAGGTTACTCTCAGCTCTGTGCTCAGGAGTCACTCTTGGTACTTGTGATTAAACTGGGGTCAAGTACCTTAACTATTGTACTAACTCCAGTCTTCAGGATTTTTTTTTTTTGTTTTACAAAAGCAGACTCACAGAACACCAGTATCACACAGGTCACTCTAAGATAAAATAAAATAAAATTCAGAATCTTGCCTAAGCACAGAAACTAAATACATAATAAAACATTTTACAAACTATGAACATACTACACATCTCCCTCTTCCAATAATTTTTAGCTAATGCTGGCTCTTGACCAATTATAGATCTAGCATCACTCAATTCTTCTCTTCCTCTAGACTAATGGAATTAATTAATTATATAATTGTCCCCTTGGGTCTGCATAAATAGTCCAAAGTGATGGAGCACATGCATGGCATGAACAGAGCCCTGGACTTAATCCCTGGCATTAATTCCAAGACCAAGAAGGTGCATGGCCTTCTGAGCACCACCATGTGTAGCTTTCATGGCCTCCAGAAGCATTGCAGAGACACAAAACAAAACAGAACAAAATTATCCCAGCATTCTTACATGAACCAATACAGAATAAATATCTGCTTCTTAAGTGGGTATTGGATAATACTGAGTTTTCCTTGCTCCTCCCCCTGGGATCTTAAGGTTTATTGAGCCACTCTCACAATAGTGCAACTGAGGCACCCCTATTCCATCAGGCACTAATAATCCTATAATGCTTTCTCCTTTCCTCAGTAATCATTTTAACAGTCATAGTAAATTGACTTCTTATAATATTTCTAGGAATGTCATTTTGTATGAAAACAGTAAGATATATTAAGCTTAAAGGTTGGCTCTTCCTGGGGATCTCTCTATATTTCCAGACCACAGTCTTCAGGCCATGTTAGTCTTTCCTAATCCCAGCAGGGTCCTTATTCAGTTACTTCTTTTTGGGTCATGACAGAGTTTGTCCATGACCGTGCTCCTAATTTATGGTTAAGTATTATGGTGCTTGGCCTGGCCCATTTCAATGCCAGGGTAGCTCACAGCTTGCCCTGGGTCCACCAGTCCCTCGTCAGGACCCTGCTCTTGAAGTATTAGGAACTAAGGGCAACTGAGGCTTAAGTCAAGTAAATATGGATGCCTAGGAGTAAATATTATTTTGGAGTTACTTATCTCCCGTGTTACATAGCATAGCATCAACTGTCTTCCTGTGTCTATACAAAAAGAACATTCCTAAATAAACCATGCAAATGACGTAAAGGAAAGAGAAAAGCAATATGGGATTATTAGTGCTTGATGGAATTGGATGTGCCTCAGTTGCACAGTTATGGGAGTGGCTCAATAAAACTTTAGGTCCCTAGGGGGAGGAGTAAGGAAAACCCAATGTTATCCAATAGGTGGGGATTTTGTTTGTTTGGAGTGACATTCTTCAGTGCTAGGGGTTACTCCTGGCAGTGTTGAGAGGCTATTCCTAGTATGTTGCTATCAGGGGTTGCTCCTATAGTACCTGGGAGACTTTGCATAGGTGAGCATCAGTACATATCAAACCTAGGTCTATCCCATGCACCTCATGCGCACTCGCTTCTTTGGATGGAGGGAGGAAGGGGTATATCTAGTGATACTCAAGTGGTAGTCTTGACTCTGTACACAGGGATCACTCCTGGCAGTGCTCAGGGGACAATATGGAATGCCAGAGATTGAACTCCAGTAGGCCACATGCAAGGGAAATAACCTACCCACTGTACTGTCACTTCAACCTTGCCACACAATAGCTCTTCCAGACCTTAAAGTCCCACTTCATTGAACCTTCCCCCAAGTCATCAAACACAAAGTCCAAAACCCTGAAAGTCCTAACAATATCCTATTACGGAGATACTCCATTATTCCCCATGGTGTTTTTTCTCCCTTATTGCATTGACTAATAAACCCAAATCTCTTAACCATAAATGTGTTCTCAGGAATCACTGACTGGAAAACATAGCCATATTAATCTAAAAGAATTATGTATGTTCTATGCCAGCTTTAAACTTATTAAAAGGAGTGCATCCCCTGTTAGTAGAATTCTTATTTCTTCTCAATATTTCCTTATCAAATATTTATTTATTTGGGGAGGGGGAATTTGACTCACACCCAGGTAGTGCTCAGCGGCTCTTCCTGGCTCTGTGCTCAGGACTCACAGGGACCTGGTGGTGGCAGGGACCAAACCAAAGTTGACTCTGGCACCAATGACTTATTGAGTGTTTTCTAGGTTCAAAGTAAGTGCTAGAAAATAGGAATTCCACCTCCTGGCACCAATCTTTATACAACCAAGCAAGTGCACCTGCTGATCTTTCCTTTTAGTTGTAGAGATAACAGCTTGTGTTTGTGCTTCCATTGGAGATAGAGCAGACATTTTGTATTTTTCCCGAGAACACAGAGAATTCTGATTACCCACAATGGGGGGCTAAAACCCATGCCTTATTATTCAGAGTCTTCCTATAAGCTGTCATTTCCCTATTAGTATTCCTTTAGGGAGTTCAGCCTTTGCCTATATAGAACTCAGACAGTCCTGTTTCTCTGGGAAGGAAGAAACTAAGCAAGGGGCATGCACAGCACCAGAAAAGAGTTGTGATTCTATATACACAGTGCCTCCCTATCCCTAAACTTCATCTTTCATCAAAATCACCTTAGATACACATTTGAAGTGTTGTAGGAGAAATGTATAGATGAAAATCTCAGAATCATCAGAAACCCAAGATGCACACAGTTAATTTTCTGTTTTGTTTTCATTTTTGTTTTGCAGTGTAGGAAATCAAACCTAGGGCCTCACAAACAAGGCTTGTGATCTACCACTACGAGGTAGCCCCAGCCCTCACATACTGTTATCATCCATAACATATTGTCAGACTCCAGCTCTCTGAGCACTATGCAACTGTTTTTATAGATAAATACACAGGTTTATCTCTGAATAATACGTTTACTAGTATGCTTCCTAAGATTAAAGTCATAACTATATACATATATATGTAAATATATTGAAAAA